TTTTCCAAAAATTTTAATTAACTTTTTAGTACTTCAAGAAAATACAAGGAAATGCAATATTGTTGTTCAGGGCCATGACCTTGACAAATGTTGTCAAGGTCATGGCCCTGAACAACATTCAAAAAGTTTCAGCCGTCGGTCGAACACCTTGGGTACCAATGCTAATGGCAACAATATTGTAACTTTGAAGCCTTTTAACTCGAAAGATACTTAATGAAAAAATATTTTATTACAGTGTTTTAGAAAGCTCTCGAGGTAAGCTATAAGAATATGAAGAATGAAAAATGGAGGTTTCCATTTAAGAAATTGAAGGTGACCTTCACGTGACTTTCAAACGACTATCCAGGGTCAAGCCAATTGCACCATCTTATGTCCCCTTCCGAACTATACAACTTTTGTTTGAAATATTTTTCCGTATCTTCCATATTTTTCAAGATATTTGCCTAGTTCGATTAAAATGACTCATCCTGTATATATAATTATATTTTATTTAATTTTTAATTTAATTTTTTTTAATTTTAATTTTTATTTTAATTAATATATATAATAAATTTTTAAAAAATTAATTACCAAGAAAGCATGCCAATGTCACGTATACAAAACGAATAATTCATAAGAATACAGTAGTACTAATATTGATCTTGAAAAGTTAGTAAAAATTAAACAGTTAAATTTTTTGCTCTTGTATCTACTCCGTTTAAAAGATTTGATAGAATTATATAAAAAAAATCGGGTAACAAATTTTGTTAAAAAATGATAAAATTACGTAGAAAGGCATGTGTATTCAGGTGAATATTTAATTGTTTAATATAATTTATTTAATCATTAAAAAAAGTATACGATATATAAAGTTATACCCCTAGTAACAAAATTCATTGGCTTTACATTGGCTAAACATTGGTTATCTTGGGAATATATTGGAAAATATGTCCCAATATTCAGCCAATATTGGACATGGAATAATTAGAAATATATTATTAATATTGTACGTTAAATATTTATATATTATTGGATTTACATTGTAAATACGTTGGCCAATATTTTCCAATATAAAATTAATATTGATCTCAGAATAAATATTAATCTATTACCAAAATAACAATATCAATAAATACACAATATTGCATTTACATTGAAAGTGCCAATATTTCTCAACATAATATGAATATTATACAGGGTGTGGAAAAAGTATGGAAACCCTGAAAAATCTCAAAAAATACAGAAAAATGTTTTAAATAAAAGTTGTAGGATTTAAAAAGTATATTCAATAGTCTCATCAGTTTGACCCTGGCTGGCGTCATTAAGGTGAAGTCAACTTGAATTTTTTTTAAATGAAACACCCTATTTTTTTATTGCATATTCTTATAGTCCTTCTCAATACCTTTTCAAAGCACTATAATTTTATTCATTTTGGGTCAGCCGTTTCAAAGTTATTGAGTATTTTACAGTAAGAAGTAATAGACACCCAAAGACAAGGTCGGAATATGATCCAGCCAACTAAGGCAAGATCGAAGGATGATCTAAGCTTTTAGATCATCCTCCGATCTTTCCTTAGTTGGCCGGATCATATTCACTCTCAGGTATTTTCGCGGCTACTCACTCTCAGCTGTTTCCACGACTACTCACTCTCAGTTGTTTTCACGGCTACTCACTCTCAGCTGTTTTCACGGCTACTCACTCTCAGTTGTTTTCACGGCTACTCACTCTCAGTTGTTTTCATAGCTACTTACTCTCAGTTGTTTTCACGGCTACTCACTTTCAGCCTTAGTTGACTGGATCATCCTCCGATCTTGCCTTAGTTGGCTGGATCATCCTCCGATTTTGCCTTAGTTGGCTGGATCATCCTCCGATTTTGCCTTAGTTGGCTGGATCATCCTCCGATCTTGGCTTAGTTGGCTGGATCATATTCCGACCTGTTCGGGTGTCTATTACTTCTTACTGTAAAATATTCAATAATTTTGAAACGGCTGACCCAAAATGAATAAAATTATAGTACTTTGAAAAGGTATTGAGAAGGACTATAAGAATATGCAATAAAAAATAGGGTGTTCCATTTAAAAAATTCAAGTTGACTTCACCTTAACGACGCCAGCCAGGGTCAAACTGATGAGACTATTGAATAGATCTTTTTAAATCCTATAACTTTTATTTGAAACATTTTTCTGTCAAACTTATATTTTTTGAGATTTTTCAGGGTTTCTATACTTTTTCCTCACCCTATATATATAATGAAGGCCAATGAACGACTAATGTTATGTTTTAACAATTACACGATATTGTGTTTATATTGGAAGTACATTGGCCAATATTTCCTAATACAATATTAATATTGATCTCTGAATAAATGATAATCTATTACCAATATTATATTTCAACATTTACATGTTATTTTATAATCTTTTATGACTTTGTCTATTTAATAAGAGCAATAAAACAATTTCACTATATAAATTTTAAGACCAAAATGGAATATTCGGTGTTTCGTAGACCTCACCTTACCAGTTAAAGCTTAAATTAACAATAAAAGTACGAAAAACATAATTTTTATTAAAATTAAATTATATTATAAAAAAATTATATTACTGCGTTAATTGCAACATATATATAGAAATATAAGACGTTTATATTGATCGAAGAAATGGTGTAGTGTCTAAAGCAATAGGCTCATAATCCCAAAGGTGCCTCAGGTCTAAGTTCGAATCCCAGTGTTAGTGAGAATTTTTAAGTGTGATATAACATTTGGAATCAAGTAATCTTAAATTTCAAGTAAAGTCAGCAAACGCTGACTAGTTCTTCATTTCAACCAATTCGCCAATATTTGTAAAAAGTGGAACTCTTTACGCTTATTCGAATATTTTTTGTAAATTCTATGAATATTTTGGAATATTTTGAGATATTCTTGGAATGTTAATTTTGAATTTTAAAAACATTTTATAAATTTTCCAGGAATGTCTAGCGTTTACTGGGATTAGTTTCACATTAGGATCCAATTAATGTCCAACATGAAAAAATTGAGTAAATATTATTGCTTAACATTTGCCCAATATTGTCCAATATTATTGGACCAATATTGCTGACCAATATTGGTTAAATAAGAGGCGATATCCATTTTACAATATTGGGAATCAATGTTGGGAAATCAATTCATACTTAATATTTAACATTGGATTTACATAATTTCCCAATATTGCGTTAACATTTTATGCTACTAGGGACGATATATAAAATGAAAGAAAATGATAATTTTTTATATATTGGGAGTGGGTATTAATTTTAAAGGATTTTCAAGAGATGGCGTAACTAGTACTATATCGCATCGGGCCATATTGTTGCTATCTTCATGTCAAATCACCATCATGTGGCTTTAGTTTTCAGTATGTGTCATTGTGCCGAAGTGTAAACAACATTGTTATTTTGAGCATTGAATATGTCGAATTTTGTGCCAACAAAACACAATTTGCGGGAAGCTTTGCTTTTTTGCTTCCATTTGAAGAAAAGTGCTGCTGAAAGTCAATAAATGCTGTCGGAAGCTTATGGTGATTATACTCCATCGATTTCAACATGTGAGTACTGGTTTCGACGCTATAAAAAAGATGATTTTGACATGGAAGACAAGGAATATCCAGGCCAGCCGAAAAAGTTTGAAGATGAGGAAGTGGAAGCGTTACTCGATCAAGACCCGAGTCAAACGCAAGAAGAACTTAATCATAATCAGCAGAATCATTAAATGTTGATCGATCAACGATTTCCAGACATTTGAAGGCCATTAGAATGATTCAAAAGCAAGGAAATTGGGTGCCGTACGAGTTGAAGCCGAGGGACGTCGAAAGGAGCAAAATGATCTGTGAATTGTTGCTTCAAGGACACAGAAGAAAAAATTTTTTGCATCGTATCGTGATGGGTGATGAAAAATGGATAGGCTACGATAATCCGAAGCGCAAAAAATCATGGTGCAGGCCAGGCAAACCATCAATATCGACGGCAAAGCCGAATATTCATGGCGCCAAGCTCATGCTCTCTATTTGGTGGGATCAGCTGGGTGTAGTGTATTATGAGTTGTTCCAACCCAACGAAACCATCACTGGGGAACGCTACCAACAACAATTGGTGCAATTGAGCCGAGCATTGAAGCAAAAACGGCCAGATTACGCGAAAAGATAAGACAAAGTGATTTTCCAGTACGTCAACGCTCGGCCACATATTGTGAAACCGGTCAAGGGAACGTTAGAAGCGCTTAACTGGGATGTCCTATCATACCCGCCGTATTTTCCAGATATTTCTTCTTCCGATTATCATCTATTTCGATCGATGACTCATGGCCTGTCTGAGCAGTGTTTCCATTCTTATGAGAATACCAAAAAATGGGTTGATTCGTGGATAGCCTCAAAAGATGTGTCGTTCTTTCGACGTAGAATCCACCTATTTCCAGAAAGATGGAAAAAAGTAGTGGCTAGCAGTGGACAATATTTTGAATGATCAATTTGTAACCATTTTTTCACAGTAAAGCCGTATTTTTACCAAAAAATCTCTTAAAATTAATGCACACTCCCAATAAGTTGAAATATGAGAAAATGAAATTTTCGATAGAAGTTATAAAAATCTGATAAAGTCATATAGTATTTTAATGCAATTTTTATATATTTTTATAAATTCTTATATTGAACTTTTAAACAAGATATGTAGATTTTTTATCAGTAAGTCATGAAAGCTATAAAATGTTACAAACTCAACAAAATTCACCAGACCCTGATCGCTATCAAAGAAATATGCAAGATCTCTTAATTCCAAATTGCTTAGAATATCTATCGTAAAAATTATGAAATTATGGGATGCTCTGTATACTTTATAGTTTGTAACATGCGATTAATGCATGTATCTGGTGTAAACGGTGTAAACATAGTGAAATGCCACTTCCGTTACAGAATTATTAGAAATAATACGTCTTAAATATGAACTTATTCAACAAGCTTGAACAATCAAACATTCTTGGCACCCATCAGGAACCTTTGCTGTGGTTTGCTTAATGACCGGCAAAGTAGTAACATCTTATTCGACACCTCCTGTGGACCAAATATCTGCAAATATCTCAGACGTAGCTTTTCAAAACCTCGAAGATATCAAGAATATGTATACGCCAATGCAGGTAGCGACTGCCGTAACATTGATGGTTGGGATATTCCAGGTCAGTATTGCGTTGCTTTTTAAAAGTTTATGTTAGTAAAAAACAAGAACAATAGAAATGAAAGTTTTTCTTTTACCGTTATAGATAATAATGTATACATTCCGATTAGGCATTGTGGCAACACTGCTAAGCGAAACTTTAGTGAATAGCTTTACGACCGGAGCAGCGGTTTACGTTTTACTGTCTCAAATTAAGGATCTTCTTGGCCTTAAGCTATCGAAAAAAAAAGGATATTTTCAGCTAATTTTTGTGAGTAAAAATTTGATTTATGCTTAGCTTGCAATATTAACATTATAATCTACTTATTTGAAAGTTGAATTCTTCGTTTATAGACTGTTATAGACATATTTAAAGAAGTGGAAAATGCAAACATGGCTGCTGTAATAATATCACTTATATCAATTGTTATCCTTGTTATCAATAATGAGGTTCTAAAGGTAAAAGCAATGTTTTAATTTGACTGTTTTTAATCAGATGCTTGTAAAGCTATGATATAATTTTCGTATTCCATTAGCCACGAATAAGTAAAAAATGCGGCATGCCGATACCAATCGAACTCATTGCGGTTGTCGGTGGGACGTTGATCTCGAGATATTGCGATTTACCAAAGATTTACGATATTAAAATTGTCGGACATATTCCTACAGGGTATGTATTCTTTTTCTGTTAAGATTAGACATTATAAAAAATAAATTCAAAAATTAAACATTACGTTTCTTTTTTTATAATCATCCGACAGACTTCCTAAACCAGAAGTGCCGAGTGTGGAATTATTGCCTCTAGTAGCAGTAGATAGCATTGCGATAACAATAGTTTCGTACACTATCACCGTGTCAATGGCATTGATATTTGCGCAGAAACTTAGCTACGAGATAGATTCGAATCAAGAATTTCTTGCGATGGTGAGACATCAACGTTACTTCAGAACTCGCATTAGTTGGCCCCACAATCTTCTAATAGCGAATTTTTATCGTTCCAGGGCTTCAGTAACGTAGTCGGTTCTTTCTTCTCGTGCATGCCGATTTCTGCCTCTCTAAGTAGATCTCTCATTCAACAAGCTGTCGGGGGACGTACGCAAATAGCGAGCGTCGTGTCCTGCTTATTACTGCTCGTTATACTTCTGTGGATCGGGCCGTTCTTCGAACTTCTACCGAGATGCGTGCTGGCCTCCATAATAGTTGTGTGTATTGAATTAAGTACAATCACCGATAATCATGAGAAAGCGTAAAACTTGGAAGATGATTATTTCTTTTTTTGCAGGTGGCATTAAAAGGAATGTTCGTGCAAGCCAAAGAACTCGTGAAATTCTGGAAACTGAGTAAGTCCGACGCCTCGATTTGGATCGTGACGTTCTTAATAGTAACGTTGATTAACATCGACATTGGATTACTTGCGGGATTACTCATGTCACTCACCATTATTTTATTGCAAACTATTCGATCTTACACGTGTCTGCTGGGCCACATACCGCATACAGATCTATACTTGGATTTAGATAGATATAAAGCGGTAAGCTTTTACCAATCAAAATACGCTAAATATATATTCTTAATCACTTGAATTCTGACATATCTTTAAAAATATTTATGTATTTAATAATATAGCGTTTTTCAAGCTATATGTGTGTGCGCGCATGTATTTTATATATATATATATATATATCGACTTTGAAATCTAAGGGAATTTGGAACATAACCGGACTACGGGTTATGATCGATAATACTAGTTTATAAAAAAAAAATTTTTGGTAAATGTTTACTTTCACACAGCTAGCTCCAAAGTTTTTTGTATGACTTAATTTTATTTTATCTTAATTTTTACATAGTTACCAATAAAAAGAAGTCAATAGTTACCACATATAGTGTGAATATACACAATGGTATTTTTTTATATACGCAATGGTATTTTCGTTTGATCTAATTATCTTTTAACATCCCTTTTGTAAAAAATAGAAATTTAAATAATATTATGTTTTAACATCTTTATATTTATATTTTCTGAAAGTATGTATGTGAAATATTTCATATATGAACATATTTGCTTTTATATAATGTGTGTGTGTGTGTGTGTGTGTGTGTGTGTGTGTGTGTGTGTGTGTGTGTGTGTGTGTGTGTGTGTGTGTGTATACAGGATATCTCAGAACAATCTACGAAGTTCTTGTGAGAACGTAGAGCAGGTTAAAATAAACATAAAAGTACCGTTTTGCGATATTTGTAATAATAACCGAGAAATTAATTACAAAAGATTAAGGAAAAGCATGCATTGAATAGTAGAGGACGGACCGCTCGAGTCACAGCGCAGTCCAGTAATATAGCGCGCGAATATCGCGCGCGGTGATTGGAAGACAATGCATCATTGTCTATACTTGTACCACTGTGCTCCTATATCTTGCCTTGGCGCGGTGCGGCAAGATGTAGGAGCGCAGCGGTATAAGTATAGGCAGTAGATCGTCTCGCGTCGATTGGCAGTACATTCATTCGTAAATAGTAAGCAATATTTGTAATTACTGATTTTATTGGAAGTAGTGAAAGACTTGGCACGTCCTAATTTTGTCACATGTTATTCTCCGTTCATACAAATATAACTTTTCTTACTGAAAATTATTCTCTGAAATTCTCTGAACAGTATTACTATTTACGAATGAATAAATATATTTTCCGTCGGATTTCTTTTTGTATATTTACATATAACACAAGTACGCAGTTTTACTTTCAAGAGGGGTTCTGAAAGGTTATGTATAGTAGTGTAAGTCACTAGACTTACAAGGAGATGCCACAACCTGCTAAATCGATTTCTGAACGAGACATAGCACGTTCGTTAGCTGCGATGTTAAGTATCAACATCCTAATTGAGGTTTGTGCCAATGGACTTTTGTTTGTGAGAAATTACAGTATAAAATTTGGGTTGCGGGACTGTACCACAGATATGACTAAAGATGCAACTGTCTTTCAGCGAGGCGGCGTGACTAAGCAGACTGAGGCTCCCACGTCGAACATTTTTGAGCCGGCAGCGAGCATTCGAATCCCGGCGACGAAGTTATCCTTGTGCGATGTTTTTTTTTTCTTATATTAGAGCACGTAATTAATGTTTTTTGAATATGATACGTTTGTTTTACATATGTCTCGTTTTTATTAAGGGGTAATTAGGGAAGTGTCAGGCTTGTTTAACGCAAACACGAATATATTAATTTTTTAATATGTACTAAATATATATCTCATTGTAAGTAATATGTGTCTAACAAAATGTGTGTAACAAAATATGTGTCTATATTCGTGTTTGCCCATTCGTTAAAGGCCCATTGGTACAAACCCCAATTAGGATGTTGATCCTTAACATCGTAGCTAGCGAACGTGCTATGATTTGTTCAGAAATCGATTTAGCAGATTATGGCATCTCCTTGTTAGATAGTCTCGTAGTTGGTAACCATAGCATAGGATAGGATAGGCGAGTTTTTTAATTCATCGATGGATCCATTGCATGGTGCGTGAATACAGTGTTTCGCTGTATTAAAAAACTCACCCAATATCTTAGATAAAAGAGAGCGCGCGGGAAATGGTTACCCTACACACATCTCGAGAGACAGCTAGGACAATGCGCACGCAGTTAGCAACAAGATCTTGTCGTTAAGTGATCCTTCATATATAGTTTATCAAAATAGATTGATTATATTGTTAATTGTATTGTGAGTGCCACCCCTGTCATAACCTACCAAATATGAATATATTACGTATTGGCGACGAGGATAAAACCGAAGATTAAATCAAAGATAAAGCGATAAAATCAACAGGAAGATCCCATTTCTCTGTTCCTCTGTTCGTCCATAATGGCGATGCATAGTGAGAAAGAACTCACTCAATTGCAATGACAGTTAGAAGTTGAGTCTGCGAGGCTACAAGAGGAAAAGCGGCAGCTACATGAGCAACGACTACAAATTATTCGTGAATCTGATAAAATAGCAGAGAGCAAGAGGCAGTTACAAGAAGAAACCTGTAAAGTACAACAGCGGAATACAGCAGCAGATACAGCGAGTGGCCGAATAGCGGGCATTCGAGGTACAATGATTGACGTACACAAATTCTCACTAACTGATGACTTTGAATTATGTTACGAACAATTTCAAGAATTTGTAGCTCTCAATGGAGTGACACAGGACGAGGCAGTGTCATTGTTTATTATAAAAATTGGCTCGGATGGCTACTGTTTATTACACAATTTGTGTGCACTAGAGTTTCCTAAACACAAGAGTTTATATCATCTTGTATCTATATTGCAGAACCACTTTAAGCCAAAATCGAGTGCTTTAATGCAGTGTTACAAATTTAAAGAGTGCAGGCAAAAGACGAAACTGTTAATGCTTATTTAGCCCAATTAAAGCAGATTTCTTTACACTGTAACTTTGAATTTAATCTTCACAACTCCCTGTAGTGTGGAGAATCACCAGTGAGAAAATGAAGAAAAGGCTGTTAGCGGAACTACATCTGACATTGGAGAAAGCGGTAGAAATATGTGCAGCAATGGAAGCAGCAGAGAAGGATGTTGCAGATGGGAAATGATGTGCAAGACAGTAGAAGAACATCGATTAACTACGTCACATGAAGGATGAAAACATTGTCGGTGTCAAAAGAACCTAAAGAGCAAATCACTTGTTTTTATTGTAGTAAACCGAACTACAAGTTTAATAGTTGTTGTTTTAAGAACTATGATTGTAATATTTGCGGTCGAAAAGGACACTTAGCTGTAGTATGCCGTAATACTAATAATAATAAGAAGAAGAAAACAGTAAAATCACGCGTACAGTTGGCGAATCCTACAAAATTTAATAGGCTAAGCGAGAGCCACATCAGTTTATTACAGATGAGGATTTGTCAGAATCATTTAATACATTGTTTCATTTAAAGGCTGAGCCGAAAGTAGAGCATAGTAAAGCAGGACACAAGATAGAATATAGCAAACCGCTTAAGATACAACTTATTGTTGAAAATAAGCCTATATTATTTGAAATTGATTCAGGATCACCCATTTTTGCCATTTTATGGAATAAGTATAAAGAACATAAGGAACTATTATGTCTTCAACTATTTCATGCACCGCGAATTTTTAAGACGTATTCTGGAAATTCTATAATACCAAAAGAAGTATTTAAAGTTCGAATAGGGTTTCAATAAAAAATGTATTATATATGTTAGAATTATTTGTGTTACTTGAAGACAGTATAGAACGCGAGTGGCTGGCTAAGTTTGACATATTGCGCTTAAGTGATCAATCTGTTTGCAATAACATTTATAATTTGACGGATCAAGAAAATTCAGTACAGAATATAATTACTAAATTTTGTTGTGTTTTTTCGGAAAAAGTAGGCAGATGCACTACACATAAATTTAAACTTGTATTGAAAGATAATGCTAGGCCGGTATGTTGTAAAACGCGACCTATTCCGTTCTCTATGCGTGATCGTATTGAAACGGAAATGAGTAGATTAGTTGATAATGAAATTCTTGAGCCGGTTGAAAGTAGCGTATAGGCGACTCCTGTGGTACCAGTTTTAAGGACTAACGGACAAATTAGGATATGTGGTGATTATAAAATCACACTAAATCCGCATTTAGAGATTAATAAGGATCCGATTCCGAGGGTAGCAGATTTATTGAGTCAGTTAGAGAAAGGAAAAATTTTTTCTAAAATTGATCTGGCACACGCATATCAGCAAGTAGAACTAGAGGAAGAAGCGAAAGAATTTACGATAATTGCTACTCATAAAGGGTTATATAGATATAATCGTCTTTGTTTTGGTATTGCGTTTGCCCCAAGATTATTAAAAAATTTTATGAAAAATACTCTAAAAGGCATTGCCGGGGTTATAGTTTATTTTGATGACATTTTGATATTCGGTGAAATATTAGACGAACACAATAAGTCTTTAATACAAACCCTTGCTCGACTAGCAGATAATGGATTAACGGTATCTTTAAAGAAATGCTTTTTTGCTAAGGACAAGGTACAATTTTTAGGCTTCAAACTTGACAAACACGGAATACATAGCAGCGCCTGAAAGAAGTAGAGCAATCGTGCAGGTTCCAAAACCGATAAACATTACGCAGTTGCAATCATTTGAGCATAGTTAATTATTATTTAAGTTTATCCAGACTATGCATCAATTGCAAGCCCATTGTATAATTTATTACGGAAAAATTCTGTGTTTAGTTGGACGCGTGCATGTCATCATGCATTTGAACGGATTAAGCAGTTTATGGCTTCGCCAAAGATTTTAACACTATAGCTCAGAATGGCCACTTAAATTAACATATGATGCATTACCTTTTGGCCTAGGGGCGGTACTATTTCACGTCTCTAAAGAGGAAGAATAGCCAATTGCGTTTGCCTCACGCACATTATCAGTTGCCGAACGAAAATATTCACAATTGGATAAGGAAGCGCTAGCGTCGATTTTTGCAGTTAAGCATTTTCATCAATATATCTATGGCCGTAAGTTTGAATTAGAAACTGACTATAAGTCATTAATTTATATTTTCTATCCAAAAAAGGATATTCCTACGATGGCAGCCAGTCGTGTTCAAAGATGGGCGGTATTACTAGCGGTATATGATTTCCAAATTAAATATATTAAAGGATAGGAAAAAGGGCTAATTCGAGTTCAAGCACAGGATTAATAGTCCTATGTACTATATGAGTAAAACCTTCCTTGTGTTAGGAAATAGAGCAATATTTATTGAACATGAATACTCAATATAAATAATCAAACATTTCGGCTCAATCATTTTATTAAGGTCTTTAATTAATTCTTTTACTTGTAATGCGTTCGTTTTGTAAACCTTGAGTTTTTTTATATCACTGAAGAGGGTTCATGATTGAGCCGAAATGTTTGATTATTTATATTGAGTATTCATGTTCAATAAATATTGCTCTATTTCCTAACACAAGGAAGGTTTTACCCATATGGTACATAGCACTATTAATCCTGTGCTTGAACTCGAATTAGCCCTTTTTCCTATTATTTAACTGATATCATTGTTATTGAGTTCTTATTTTCTTTCTCTTAATATATTGAATTGATAATGCGGTAGCAGCGGGTTATCACGCATTACAGCAAGTATACGAGATTTTAATGAGAAAAACGCAAATGACTATTCTTTTTTAAACTACGTCACTGACGATATACCTACTATTAGTAGTCGTGAGATTCGCGAGGAGACTGAGAAAGATGTTATATTAAGAACGGTCGCGATTTTGTTTACAATGGTTGGCCTGATAGGGTACCCGAAAATATTCAAGATTATAAAAAACATGCTTTCGAATTAAGTATAGAGGATGGTTGTATCATGTGGGGTCACAGGGTAGTAATTCCGCAGTCTTTAAGAAATCGATTATTGGAAGAGTTACGTAATAGTTATTGGGGTATAATTAAAATGAAAATGATAGCTTGTTCATACTTTTGGTGGCCAAAGTTGGATAGCGACATTGAAAAGATTACAAAAGCTTGTCAAGTATGTTTAGCTAATGCGGGCAATCCACTACGCGCGATATTACTTAGAATTGGTCGGCAGAACCAAATCAGAGATTACATGCAGATTTTTGCGGTCCAATTTCAGGATATATGTATCTAATAATTATCGACTATTTTTCAAAATGGATTGATATTAAAGAGATGACTGATATCACAACAGAGTCGATCATAGGCGTTTTTAGAGAGTATTTTGCGACGTGGGATATTCCCTTGACTTTAGTTACTGATAACGGTCCTACCTTTACTTCGGATAAATTTGGAACATTTTTAAAATGCAATCGAATGAAACATGTCCGTATTGCGCGTATCATCCAGCGTCAAATGGTGAAGCTGAAAATGCAGTGTATATCTTTAAGGCGAAATTCAAGTTGTTAACGTAAAAAATGTCACGCACGGAAACATTATCGAAATATTTGTTTGCGAGCCGTTTGTCGGTATATAACACTACAGGAGTTACGCCAGTCGAATTACAGTTTAATAGGAAAATAAAAACGCGTTTTGATATCTTAAAGCCGACAATACGTGAACGAATGGTTTGCAATCAAGATAAACAACGTTTGTATTATCGAGGGAATCGAAATGTTAGTTTTGTCCTACAGAAAACCATTGTGATCAAAGATTATAGAAATAATGCGTGGCGGAAGGCTATGATTGAAGAGCGTTGTGGTCCGGTAACATATATGGTGCGAACAGATGATAATAAGCTTTGGAAAAGACATGTAGATCAAATCAAACCAAGTGAGGATAATTGTAATATCTCGAAGCCATTTGAAGGCGAGAATGATATTGTCGAAATACTTGCGCATCTTAGCATAGAGCGACGACAAGAGAGGAACGAAATAGTGAATCGAAAGTCAACCCCGAGTATGAACAGCGACAGTTCGTTTATATCACCATTAAAACGCAAAGTAGAAAAGGCGAACGAAAAGGAAGCTGTTAGTAGTAAACGGGCTGACGGAGACACTAATGTGAGACGCTCAACGAGGACACACATACCTCGCCAGATTCTAAATTTATAAGTTGCGAATAGTTTTTTATGTGCTTCTATATTTGCGATATTCTTTTGTAGTTATGGTAATATTTTATTTTAAGTGTGAAGGAATTACAATAGTGTAAGTCACTAGACTTAGATCTCGTAGTTGGTAACCATAGCATAGAATAAGATATCTCAGACAAAAGAAAGCACGCGGGAAACGGTTACCCTACACACACCTCGAGGGACATCTAGGACAATGCACACGCAGTTAGCAACAAATCGTTAAGTCCTTCATATATAGTTTATCAAAATAGGTTGATTATATCGTTAATTGTTTTGTGAGTGCCACCCCTGTCATAACCTACTAAAGATGAATATACTACAGGTTATCTGCGGCTTTACTTGGATTCCCCCACTTTTCTCCTGTTTTGCTACAGCGCATACGTTGGGCGCATGTACGGAGGAGTGCTGCAGAAATGTGCCCGTGCACGCTGCAGCGTGCGAGAAGTGTCCCCTCCATGCGCCTTTTCCTACGCACACAACGCTGCTGCTCCGTCTATCGGTGTGAAATTTACACGGATAGACGGAACAGCAGCGTTTTGTGCGTCAGGAGAAGGCGCATGGAGAGGACACTTCTGCTTGCATACTGCGGCGTGCACGGGCATATTTCTGCAGCACTGGTATGAAAGGGAAAGTTGCACTCATTCTCTATCTCACACAATTCTGCTGCGGATCTGGTTTCCTTGTCTATCCTATGCAGATTGGGAGGGATCATGGTGGAAATATACAAGGTGTAGCGTTCCGCTGGATGCGCAGTAGCTACCAATCAAAAAGTTGTTCAAAATTGGAAAAAGCCAATGACTGCCCTCAATATTTTTGAGTAACTTTCTGATTAATTCTACTCCCACCTCCATGATGCGCAATGCTATACCTTGTATATTTCCATGATGGAGGGGATGTTCAGTCCATGTATTATAGGTTGATGTTGGAAGAACAACGCACCACTGTCTATGCTTATATCGTTGCACTCCTACGTCTTACCGTGTTGCGCCGAGATTATATCTAATGATGCGATTTCGAACCCGTGCACGCTGGCTAAAGACAGGCATTGGCGCGATGTTCTTCTAATTACCGCACGCCGGCATCTGCGTGCTACATGGATCTGCGCTGCGGCTGGTGCGCTCCTCTTTCGATCATTCAGCGTACGTTTTTCCTTAATCTTTCGCAATTAATTTCTCGACTATTATTACGAAAACCATGTAGGACTTTTATGTTCACCTCAACCCGCTCTACGTTCTCACAAGATTTTGTAAGAATTGTAAATTGTTCTGAGACACATTATATATTTATTTATCATGAGAGTTATGTTTATTATGAAAAATTTAAATGTTTTCGCTATAATTGATTGGACAATAAGAAACATTTAGTTCATTGTATGGTTTAAAGTGGTAGATATTATGATAAATGATTCTTTTCCAAAGTAATTTTAAAGTCGATTTCAAGGTCGAATTATGTAATAAAAATTTTACTGCAGTCTATGGAAAACGGTCCACTTTCTTGGAATTAACCTTAAAATAACTTTTTTTGGGAAAGGATATTTTTTCTATTGTCATTTTAAATTGGCTCTCTCTCTCCCTCTCCCTCTCTCTTCTTCCCTCTCACTCTATCTCCCTCCCTCTCTTCCCTCTCTCTCTCGGCGAAGACATAGGCCCATATTCTGAATCCTCTTTTATCTATAAAAGTGTCTCTAAAAGAGGCTTAAGAACCACCTGATTGACTGAGAAGTTACATTTAAGGCACTTTTATCGATAAAAGAGGATTCAGAATATGGGCCATAGAAAATGTGCTGTCCAACAATCGCTACAAATGCTGCGCAGCGTTTCTCCCTCTTGTTCTATTCCTCGGATTTGAATGAAGAAAGAGAAAGAAAGAGAATGAAGAAGATAAACGCTACAAAGCATTTGCAACGCCTGCTGGACTGTATCCATAGTAAGTCATATAATTTATCAAAAATTATATTAGAGGTTTCGAAAAGATAACTTCGACCTAAGTGATGAATCACATTCCGAACAAATTCAAAAAGAGCTTAATGTAACTGAGAATAATAGAAGAAATCGTTTTTTTTTCAGTAAACAATTACTAGATAGCTTCAAAATCGTCCTATTAAACAGCGTAGATAGATTAATTAAAAAAATATATATATATTTTGCTTTTTCTTTACTCTATTTTTTTTCCAGGCGGAAGAGATCCACGGGATCAAGATATTTCGCTACAGCGGCACCTTAAACTTCGCCAACAGCAGCCACTTCAAATCCGTTGTATACAAGTTAGTGGGAATATGTCCGCAGGAGATAATCAAACGTAGAAAGAAGCTAGCAGAGGAAGGTCGCTTCTTAGATGACAAAAACGCTGACGACAAAAACGAATTGCAATGCATCATCATGGATATGAGCGCGTTAAATTACATCGATCCTAGTAGCATTCATGTGTTGCATGTGATCGTGAATGAATTTACGCAGGTGAACGTCGAGTTCTATTTCGTCAGTTGTCTCAGTCCTGTTTTCGAGATGATAAAAAAATATGACACATATGTATATGGCGCGATATCGTTCAAGATTTTCGCAACCGTACAAGATGCCGTCGTTTATTTCCAAAGCGAGGTTTCCGCGAGATAACCCAGAATACTTGTTTTCTGTTATATCACGTGCAAGCCATATTTTTGATAATCATGTTAACGCGCAATGATCAGAAGAAAATATATAATTGTTGTACTTTGCGCTGTCGTTGCTCCTCCGTTTACCTCTATGAGATACTTATATTTTATGCAAAGATACGTTAAGAGAGAGAAAATATTTTTTAATCGGTGCCAAAAAATTCTCGCAACGAAGAGAACTTCTCGTTGTGAAGAGTCGTAGGTTTACATTGTACAGAACGTTCTGCAATTTGCAACTTCAATTCACGATAACTTTCCCTAGGAACTTAGGAACAATTTTTTTACAATTCCGATTTTGAATTGTAAGCGAGCGAAGAGAAGTCGCTAATTGTCAGACGTTCTACATATGTTAACACTTAGAGACTACATTAGAAACAAAGTGATACAAATGTACTTCACAATTTATAAATCTTCTACGAATTAATATACACAATCATTATGTTGGTTTGAGTTATAATTAATGTTGTTTTATTGTTTTATTTTGTTGTTTTGTTAACTTTTATTGTTTTATTTTGTTGTTTTATTAACTTTTAAAAGATTTTAAGCTGTTGTCGAGAAACTTTAAGTTTCTCTACGATTTCTCGTTTATTCAATTTTGAATCGGCTTTCACCATTGCAACAATATTATCTTTTAAAACCTGAAACCTTGTTGAGAGCAAGGTTTCTCATCGAGATTGAAATTACTGTCCTTATATTTCTTGAACTATCACTGATATTTAGATATCTAACGTTTAGAACTTCAGTAGCATATATACTAAAAATATTTTTTATTGCCGTAGTTGCATTATTTTCTCTAAATTCATAAAACATTATACGTGCCTTAAAAGTTCTTAAAAAAATTCATTTGAATAGACGCTATTAACTTAATTTTATAGAAATAATAAAAAATATAGAAATCTAAATATACAAATGAATTTACTAATTCTTCTAAATTATTATATAAGCAATGAATTTTTATTTGATGCATTGTGCATTAGTTTGTACTACTTTGTCTGATAAAGTTAGAAATGCATCAAACGGTCACAATTGCATATCACTGCTCATGAATTTGCATAATAATCGGTTATGATAGAAATAGAATGATAGTATAAATAGTAGGCCTTTCATTATTATTTGAAAACAAATTCTTCCATTAAATGTTGATTGTATTCCGAAGTGTATCTAAAAAAAATGTTTAAACTGTTCTGCATATGAGTGTACTGCAGTGTGAAAGTAGCATTTAGAAAAAAAAATTACTTATGACTCAAATCTAATGTAATCTATAATATAATGATGTTTATATATAATCATTGTTATATTATACAGATAGTTGCGTTTACTTAGGTTCGATCGATTTGATCGCTACATTGTGATGTACTTACATTGTATAAGTAAGAAATGGAAGGAGAGACATTATCAAGAATTACAACAAATGATATAATCGAGTAATCGGTCTGTTTATTTACAGTGATCACCCTATGTACAAGGTAACAGTTCCAGGTTACCCTAAGTAACCGTCATCGCTGAATTAAATTAGTTTTATTGTGTCTTTGAATTATAGCTGGCAATAATATCCCTATATGTCTATTCATAAGACACAATAGTTTCCTTTTTGTTTTCTAATTCTGCGGCAGTGTCGCCCCTCATTGATGGTGTGTATCATATTGCAGAATAAATACTCAAAAAAAAAACAAAATCGCGAGACATCATTTAATAATGTCATACTTGCGGTATGAAGGTAATTAAAAATACTTTTTTACGTTTCCTTTTCTAACCGAGCGACAAAAGTCCGATCGGTGGAACAAACTCGACGAAGCCGTGTCGCGTTTACGCCAGGCCGTACTTCTTCTTGAGAGATTCCGGCATTTCGGGTGGTGGCGGACGAGGCATGCGCAGCCAGACCTTCACGGCATCATAGATAAACCATTGCGCCGCGGTAAGGGTACCGATCATGACGATCCTCGGTCCTAGACCTTTCCAGACGCCATAGAAGCCTAGCTTCTTCAGAACTTCGCCCGCGGACGCACCTTTCTCTTGATTCAACTTGGATACTACCTGCGCAAGAGGAGTTTGTATGAAATGACTAAAAATAAAATGAATAAAAGCATAAATATAAGGAGAATGAATGAGACGCAAAAGAGAAAATAAAATAATGCAGATCAACAGAGAGAAAGAACAAAATAACACTGGAAACTATAAAAAAGAAAAAAACATTAACTTGCAAAATTGCTCGATTATTGACTACGTAGACTAGTTTGCAGAACGTTTTGAATATTTTTCCTGGCACATTTTAAAGCGCATCCGACGTTAAATAAGAAAACTTATTAAAAGAATTGTTCGAAAACGAATTTCCCCATTAAAATTTTAATGTTGCGTCCGAAATGCATTAAAGAAAATGCATAAGAGGAAAGCGTATTAGGTGGCGACGGGACGCTGTACGTTCGGGACCTGCGTATCTTTTCGTTCCGGAGAGAGAAAAATATCGAGACCGCGGTTTATTAGGCCGGGACTCGAACCCAGGTCTTTCGCTTCCCGGGCGACTGCTTAAACTGTTTTGCAGACGAGTGTACAGGTTCGAAATAAAAAAACTTGACCTAATGACAGATATATACAAATATTTACCGAGTCGGCGGGGTGAGACACAATAGCGCAGAACACACCAGCGATGTATCCAGCTGCGAAAGTAACTACCAACTGTTCGGCTTTACTGCACTCTTGCCTAGGTTTGGGTACTACATGTTTATATAGAAGTTCGACCGTGCGCTCAAAGCAAGCAAACTTCATCATTGTATATGGAATTTGGCGCAACCAGAGTGGCACCAGGCCCTTGTAGAAGCCAGTCATGCCCTCATCTGCATACATCTTCGGCAATGCCTCCCGCAGAGTGTTGGCGTATCCTGGCATAGTTTGTATCCTGACCTGTAACGCAAATATTCATTCAGTATATAAAAATATGTTAATCTATTAACCTTTTGTAACTTAAATAGAGACCTACAATCGTCTAATTTAATGCAGAAATTCCAATAGTGAATGAGAACCTTTGCTGTAGTTATTTTTTCTTTTTGCGTTATACAAAGTATACTATTTTAATCAACGTATTTGGTTATTTCTTAAATCAAATGATATCATGATTGCATTTTTATGAAGTTGTATTTTGTGAAGTTGGTTGGGGGAGGGGGATGGAGATAAATTTTAATAAAAAAAAATTTGACCCCCCTCCCTTAGACTGCACCATTAAGGTCACTTTGTTTTGACTAGAATAATATAGTTTTTTTTTTCAATAAATTGAATATTCAGATTATTTTATGTACAAAAGTACTGAACTAAGATTATTGAATACTGAATTTTTGAGATATTAAATATATAGATATATATGAAATATATCTTCTAATGAAGGCTTCAAGAGATAAATACTTTACGAAATATTTAATATCTTACACAGAAAAATATTAAGATAAAATATAAAATATCTTTAAAAGAGTATTTATATTTTAGTAATCTCACTTTTCAATATTTTTGCCTTGACAGAATAATTTGAAAAATCAATTTTTAGAAAACCTATTTTATTAAAAAAAAAAAATTCAAAAAGTAGCTTTAGGGAGTAGACCAATTTTTTTCAGTATTCTCTCGCTACGACTTCGAAAAAACGATATTTCGACATCTCACCACTCTATAGTTTAGCCATTGGAGTGCAAGTAGTTACAAGATACACGCAAAAAATTCAGAGCGGCGCACAGTGGGGCATTTCAGAAATTTACTGCTCAAAATGTCTAGAGCCCTTAATTTTTAACCGATTTAGATGCAACTTTTTTTTGAATTGTTAACGAATAAATTTTCTACAAAACTGTCGAGGCCGATTTCTCAGAAAAATATTTAGAAAAATTTTAAATTGCATAAACTGCTAGCTTTAAATTTCTAGCTGTTACATCACTAAGCTCGAACCACCTTTACCCTAGTAACCCTCAATCATATCTCCATATTTTCAGACCAACTAACCTTAAATCTCATAATGTAGGATCTTATAAGTTCTAAACTTCATAACTCTGAATTCCATTACTCCAAAACCTCGTCAACATATATAATTAGATCACGATTACTAATGTATTCACGTGGGTATATGAGCCAGTAACGGTCTTCCACACCACCCTGGAGGTGCCGTTACAGACGTGTTAGATTTTTTTTACATCTTCGCCTTGAGTTATATTTTAACACTGTCTCTATCAGACACCCAACAAAGGTATGAAATATCTTCAAAATCGGTGATAAGGTACTTATTGTTGTAAAAGAAGCTTTTCACATTTAGGATCAACATGATTTTGTATGTTTGTAACGAAGCGATATACAGGTCTGATGAAACTAACAGCTTGTGAATCAAATACGTGTTCGTATCCTTACGAGAACATTTTCCGGTACTATACGTTTTCTCTTAATATTTTTATGCTGTGCTTCTTTGCATTCCTCTGAAAAAGAAGCGATTGCTATATGGAGTCGTTGAATCACGTCAGCGCTATGAATGAGAATTTTGTGGATTGTAGCAAGCATTTTGTACCATTTCCGTACAAACTGACATAGAGCTCTGCAGTTTCTAAGCAGTAGGATTTTAATTTAGAAATGTTGAAAAAGCTTAGTATACATCAACTTTAAAAACCAAATTGGTCTTTACGTTGATGTTCCTAGATAAGGTTCTGGGTTAGGTTCCCAATGTTGCATTGTTCCAGACACTACCACAAGTGGACACCAAAATTGGGGCACAAGTGGACACTGTCCACCCTTAAAGGGTCCCTTTAAAGAATATATTTTACATAAATACTTGTATTTTAAGTAGTATTTTTATTAAATATGTAGGCTTTTGCTTACCACTCTTTTGGGCTTTGTGGCCTATTGAAAAAATATAGTGGTAAATATATCTGAATTACAATTATGACACTTTAGGCTAACTTTTACAGTTATAGTCTAGGCCTAAGTTATAGGTGTCTATTGCAACTTCTAAATTTGTAGTTTTAAAGTGTTTAAACATTTTTTAAAATGTTGTGCATTGTATTAGGTGGTAAACTTAGTTCCTGCGGTTTTTTTTGTTTAAAAAACTCATTTATTTCGACATCAAAAGCAAAAAATACATTAATCGAAGTATTTTCCCTCGCTAGCTATACATTTTTCCCATCTTTCGGGCAACGCGTAGATTCCGCGACGATAGAACGATTGGTCTTTTGATGCAATCCATTCGTCGATCCATTTTCGCACATCCTCGTAATTTCTGAAGTGTGTATCCACCAAGCCGTGCTGCATCGACCGGAACAAGTAATAGTCCGAAGGAGCTAAGTCTGGTGAATACGCTGGGTGCGGGAGAACTTCCCACTCGAGCTGCATCAGTGTTTCTTTGACGGCTTTGGCAACGTGTGGTCGAGCGTTGTCGTGCAAAAGCATGACTTTACGTCGATTGCTGGCTACTGCTGGCCTTTTTTCCAACAATGCTTCATTCAGACGGTTTAATTGTGATTGATATCGATCCCCCGTGATACTTTCGTTCGGTCTGAGTAGCTCATAATAAACGACGCCGTGCATATCCCACCAAATGCAAAGCATTGCTTTGTGGCCATGAATATTTCTCTTTGGTGTGGATGTCGATGGTTGGCCAGGGTCTACCCATGATTTTCTTCGTTTAGGATTATCGAAGTATATCCATTTTTCATCGCCAGTCACTATGCGCCACAAAAAACTCTTCTTTTTCTGCCTGGCGAGCAGAGAAATAGAGATGTTTAAGCGATTCGCAATGGCATTTGCGGTTAATTCGTGTGGTACCCATTTTCCCTCCTTTTGAATTTTTCCCATTGCATGTAGACGTTTGGAAACAGCCATCGGAGTAACATTTAATGCTGCAGACAATTCTTGGAGCGTTTGAGTAGAGTTTTCGTCCAATAATGCCTGCAAATCGGTGTCTTCAAACTTTTTCGGTTAGTTCGCCTGAGCGTTCTTTATCATTGACATCAAAATCACCACTCTTAAATCGCTGAAACCATACTTGGCATGTTCTTTCCGATGGAGCATAATTGCCATAAGCTTCGAAAAGCATTTTATGAGCTGCAGTTGCAGTTTTTTTCAAGTCAAAGTAATGAAGCAGCACATGTCGAAAAAACAACTTATCACGTTCCATATTTAATCAAAAGAAAAAATAGCACTGCTCACTTAAATGAATCTCTTCGCGCTGAATTTTATTGACAAATGTCTAACCTTTAAAATGCAGCCAGTTTCAGATATCAAAATAAATTACACCTACAACTAACGTCATCTAACTGTGAGCCGCAGGAACTAAGTTTACCACCTAATAGATTAATGTATTTAGCTTACACAATTCTTAAATGTATTTTATTTACAATAAACTGATTGAACAAAGTTACAACATTTTCATTTGTCATTTTTTCCCCTGTCCACAGCTGCCCCATATCCGTCCATAACTATCCCATGATGGGGCAGTTATGGACACATTGTAAACGTTTTTAACTTTAAATTTTTTAATGTTTAAATACAACTTTTTATTGAAACACATGCATTGATATATCAAACAAGGGCCTATAAATATATTATGCATTTTGTTTTAATAATTTGAATGACAAAACAAATACAAAAAATAAAATGTAAACTTTGTCCACATGTACCCCCCTCACCCCTACATACGTTTAGAAAACGTATATGAATCCAATATGTGCTATTAGGGATGTGTCCCAACTATAGATATAGAAAACAACAAATTGACATAAGACACTGACATAAAACATAACTGATTAAAAAAAAATGTTTCTTATTCAAAATATCTGAACATTACAATATTGATATTTATCACACAATTACCTGTGTAATAAATACTTATATATACGTACTTGGTTAATTATATTGATCTTACTTCATTTTTGAATATTTAAAACATCTGCACTTTGTTTAAGTTAACATGTACTTTTTGTTATGTAGTTTTTGTTTTGATAACTTTTGTATTGGTTTTTCTTGTTTGGTACTTTTTGTTTTGGTACTTTTTTTTATACGTACTTGGCGTCTTTTTTTTCTTTTGTAAAGACTGTATGATCTCATTGCTTTTTGTGTAGATTATTTAGGTACAGTCTTTTATATTACTTTTTCAGCAAAGAAAAC